TGTGGGTCCTGGTGATAAACTCAGATCATGAGGATCTTGACAGCCGCAACCTCTTTCCTAGCCTTGACCTTATTTACTATGGCAATATAGTGACCACAACTGATAGACTGAGCTCGATAGTCCAGCTTCCACTGCTGAAAATACTGAAGGAGCCAACTCCTCTCTGCAAACCTCTTCATCTGAAAACAAATCGTTCTTCTCCAGGAAATCCTTCTTGATCCACCCCACCTCTAGTTTCCTACCACCTGAAACACCCGCCTTGCAGTAAACAGCCTGGACCCTCAGGAAGTACATCCACCCAAGAGAGGGGTAGGGCCACACCCACCTGGCACACGGCCCCTAACTCCAGAGGGTCACATGGAACTAGGACTCCAACTCACTATCTGGCAACACAGCTGACTACTGCTCATTCTGCCTTTCAGGCACCTGCGCCCTTGCCAGCCACTGCAGAGGACAGCTGAGAATACCTTTCGGCCGATGTCGAGGGCTCTCCGGCTCATTTCTTCGGCTGCTGCGCTCTGAGCCTCCGTCTCGCTCTGATCTGCTGCTGTGCCTACTTCTGTCCCGCTCATCTGCGAGAGTCACACATGGGGCTTTTATGTGTACCTCATGCTAACACACAGCCACATGCACCAGGCAACAAGCACATGCCTCCCCCACACACAGATACACCCCATCACATATGCCTATGACCCATGGGCTGAAACACACACTCACATTCTCTCAATGGATAGAAACAGTCAAACTTACACAGGAGCTACTTTCCAACAAGAACCAACCATAAACAGTCAGTCCCATGTCTATCCTGAAGAGCTTTCTTTGTGCTGCAGCAGACCTCGGCTGCAGATGACACTGACGACAGCCAGTGCTGGACTCTGCATCACTATGTTCCGCAGCACTGTCCTTTCTCCAGCACCAATGCTACTATAAACTCCGGTTTCTTAATTATCCATCATTTCCTTTATCCCCGGTTTTCACAATAAAACAGGAACCATGTACTCAAGCAAAGCAGTTATACTACAAGCAATTACTGGGTATTAGTGTAAAAGTTCTTGTAACATGAAAAGAAAGGCTTGCTGGTTTGAATGCTACTAGGCAACAGGACTGAGAACAGGCAGCTCACCTCTGTCTCTCCTGCGGTCATAGTCTCGATCCCGGGATTTCTCCTTCTTCCGATCCTTTTCTTCTTTGGAGGAGGCATAGACCCCATGCTCCCTCCGATCCCTCTCTCTCTGCCGACTGCGTTCCCAAAACTCCTCACTCACACCCCCTGGGTGGGACGGAGTCTCTACCCGAGCAGATCGGTAATGCCTGGAAAAGGGAGACCAACTGGGAAAGTGCTCCCCATGGAAGGAAACGTTTCCCTCTATCTCTGGGTATTCTCACAAGCAATGCGTTCTCTCCAATGCATCTCCTGGTGCTAAAGGCCTGTACAAGGCAAGAACCCAGGCATTTAAGCTCCATCATCCACTTCACTTCTTGGATGCCTTTGAATTTTCCCCACAGATCTTTACCAATTCCTACCCACCACCAGTATGAAAACCACAATAAAATCCTAAAGCCCTTGGTGTCCATCAGAAATGGAGATAAAGCTAGGCTAGCATCTTCTGACACCAATGTTTACCCTCTTCCCTTACCTGTCCTTGCGGCCACTCCGACCAGCCTGCTCATCGCTCTCCTCCTCAGCATCCTTCTGGTCATCCTTACTCTCCTCCCAGTCTTTGTAAGAGGAGACTCTGGACTTTTTCTTGTCCTCCCCATCATCCTTCTCCTCTCGCTCCCTCCGTTTCAGAGAAGCCAGTAAGTCCAGACCCAGCAGTGAAGGGCGGGGAGCAGGGGCTTTGAAGACATGCTGTTCGCTGGCTGCACTTTTGGTCTTGCAAATAAGACCTCCAACCTGAGAGTCCAGATCGGTGCCTTCCAGCCGATGGATGGAGGCATCCTCAACGATGTCCTCCATCACAGGCTCTTAGTTCTCTGGAAGGAAGACAAACCATTAGAAATGGACATAAGAAAACTCGATTCTACTGCCCCAGAATAACTAGTATGTTTAAGTGGCTACCCCTACCTTCCTACACTGAGTCCAGGACATCTTCTGCTATCAGAGGTGTGGGGGGGGAGGGGTTCAGGCAGGTATATATGCACTGTGTGCACATGAAGTCAGAGGTCAATGTCAGCTGTTTTTCTCAGTTGCTCCCTTACTTACTTTTTGAGACAGAGTCTCTCACGAGACTGAGAGCTAATTCAGCCAAGCTAGCTGGCCAGCAAGGTCCTGGGATCTGCCTGTATCTGCCTCTTCAGCATATACGTACATGCCTCTACTCGTGGCTTTCCCACAGGTCCTCATGCTTGTGAGAAAAGCACTTCACCAGCTGAGCCATCTCTCCAGCCCCTTTTGCTACTTTCGAAGACTTTCCCACCAAATCAGTGACAATCTCAAAAAGCTTCCCAGTTCCCACCCCCAACATATATGAAAGCCACAGAGACACATACACACAGAGCAAAGGACAGGATCAAGAGGGTCTCATCCAAACAAGAATAAACCTCAGTAAGAGCTTCTCACTGGAAGACAATGGCATTTACAGAAGGAGTACAGAGGAACCAGGTGTAAGGCAGAACTCTCAATTAAAATCCAGGTTCTGAACCTGAGCATGGTGACACACACCTGTAATCTTAGCACATGGGAGGCCAGGACTCCTGAGGATGGCAAGTTTGAAGTTACCCTGTGATACATAGTGAGTTTCATACCAGCTAGACTATTTAATAAGATATTCATTCATTCATTCATTCATTCATACCCACGGCCCTCACTCACATTTTTTCCCTACCCATTATCTAATTTATTCTCCTGTGATTTCACCCTCCTACAGGATATACTTTCTCCCACTTAAGAACCAGAATAATCATCTTCAAGATCCCCCATCAGCTCACTGCCTCCAGACATCTACCAAACACGCTCAGCTTTTTCACGTGAACTGCAGCAGTATAGTAACAGAAGTATAGTAACTTCTCTAGTAACAGACATGTACAAAGAAAATCCAGGCTCTTGGCATTTTCTGCTTCTGTGAAAGTAAGTGTCTGCCTTGGCTAACTCTTCCTGCTCTCTCTGTGAAACAGAAATCACTTCTGTTTTACACCATCCACAGAACCACCATGAGAATCAAGCAACTGGATAAGAACCATGGTTGTTTCATGGATGTAATTATTACACATTTGGTATTACGTTCCTATATACTGACTAGTTTCCTTACTGATATTTTATAAACATTCTCCTCCCCACCCATCCCCGTCCCCTTTAAACCACAGGCTCCATAGAGCAGAGATGGAAGAATGTAATTTTACCATCCACATTCTACAAACTTGGTGACTTTGATTTTAATCAGTAGTTTTGTGGGAAAAGAAAAAAAGGTGCCCCATAGCGGCAAAATCTCTTGAATAACAATCTGTGCTCACCAAACCTACTGATGAGAAATATTGTTAGGAAACAGCATTTCAGTAAAGAGTTTAACTGACTGCAAGATCCCCCGGGTGCTCAGCTGACAATACATTCATCTTTACCCAACACCATCCGCTTGTGAGCATGAACTGATGCTGGACACAGAGACAATTATTTTCATTCCAATAAGTTGTTAAAGCATAAGAACTGTGCCCCTGGAATCTAGATATCCTTTGCCATGTTCTAATCACCAAGCATAGCTCTACCAAGGAGTACTGCAAACATAATGTGGATGAAGAAACTGGAGTTTCATTTGGAAATTTCATCAGCTGGAAGAGAAAAAGAAGGCTACCTCTATCCACATATGAGGAAATCCACAGGTTCTCAGCAGTTACCTGAATGACGACTTCCGTCCTAAAATGGCATTTGTATACAAGCAAGAGGCTGTCTTGCTGATTGCTATAGACCAATAAATGGCAAGATAAAAGTCTGATTTTTTTAAGTAAATAAATAAATATAACTTATTAAAAGCAGACAAGAACTCAAACATTTCTCTGGTCAACAAGAAGTTATCTACAACACAAGACAAGTAAAGTCTTAACTGGCTGCTCAAATAAAGAATTCCAGGGCCGGATTATGGAGAAAGATCAGTGGCAAAGAAGCCATAATGGACTTCTTGGGCAGGAATTGCTTACTGCGTGTGTCCTTGAGTCAATTGCCGTTTTCAACAATACTGACTTAAAAAAAAAAGAAAAGAAAAAACCTCCCTGTCCTTTGGAGTTAGCGTTCTACTTATAGATTACCCGCTGGATGTAGGACAAACACTTCTGTGAGAAAGGAGGAAGGCACCAGGAGCCCTAGCCAGGCTCTCCCGGTAGCCGGTAACAGGTTAGGGTACTATCCTTAAACGAGGGCGCAGGGCGGATCCCTAGATCTCAGTGCGACGGTTCCAAACATCGGGATGTAATTAGAACAGGAACAAAGTAGACTAAAATGGACACAGACTGCTCAAGTGAGTAGAGAAAGTTGGGTAACAAGGAGCAGAGGAACTCTGAAACCAGGGTCCAAAACCTAAGCCGCGAGCCGACCCCGGCCGCCTGAAGCCGCCACGGCGGCCGAAGGACGGATCTGGAAAGAGGAAGAGACTCACCTCACCAAGCACAACACTCGGGACCTTCTGCCCCTGATTTGGAGACGCCAGCGCGGCCACTGCCCGCTCTGACAGCCTCAAACAGGCCAATTCCGCGGCTTGAAAGCGGCCATCGTTGTCCCATAATACCCTGCGCGGGGTCCTCTATCAGTCGAAAATTACCATCGAGAGCAGCCAGGAAACGAGGGTTCCCGGACGCCAGAGCGAAACAACGTGAACACGCCTTCAAAGCCCAGTGCCTTCCACTGAGCCCCAAGTCGCCTTGCGACCAATCGTGCTTAGCCTGATAGTTGACAGCCCGCCTCTGGCCTGTGGGCGTGAGAGGAAAGACAGAAAAAGGTCGGCCATATTTACTAAGGGCGGAAATAGCATAACTTCCGGTTGGGCGGTGCCAGGTAGGCGAGAACTAAGATAATATCGTCTGCTTATTGGTCTCTTGACTGGGGCGCGCGATGGTACGTTCATTTTCTGCGTCCGTGTTTCTCACTTCCGCTTGTAAGGGTTTGCGGGTCGAAGAAGCGTTTGTTAACAACAGCCCAGGTTAGTCGGGGTTAACGTCCTTTCCCGGGTTGGGACTGAGGAAGGAGACGGTTGTGCCTCGGCCATCCCGTGAAGGAATCCGGATTGCTGACAGTTTTTCCGAAGTGTCCTACCTGGCACCGGCATCCTCAAAAACACATGTGCGAGATAGATTGGAAAGTAGACATGTCCGCCCTGACGTAAATGAAAGTTATCTTCCTGGCATAGTGGCACAAGCCTGTAATGCCAGCAGTTGTAAAGCAGAGACAGGAAGATTGCCACAAATTCAAGGCCAACATGGACTGCTAACCGAGACCCTTAGTAGAAATAATAATCACCTGTCTGTTCATATTCAAATATGTCCTTTGATGATACCTTGGGATATGTATTTCCATTTTCCTATGTAAATGTTATACATTAAATTTTTACAAAAAGCACAATCAGACTTTAATACTGCTTCATAACTTTTTCAGTGACTTCTAGAAAGTAGCTCACAAGACTACTATTACCAATATCCTATTGATTGGTATTTAGGATGTTTGCCGCTTTTTGCCATGATCAATGTGTTAATTATCCTGTGAACATGTCTTCGTGTCCTAATTCATATTCTCAAAATAGAGCTGTTGTGTAAAGAACGTGCCAGTTTAACTTCCAAAGAGGCTTTGCCTCTGAATTCCAACTTTCCCGCTGCCCCTTCTCTCTCTTGCCACGGTGTGTTACTGTCTTTATTTAATGGTTGTCAGCTTTAATGCACTTCTTAAATGTGCCTTTGACTTTGTCATTCTTCTGCTTGCAAAACTGGGCTTTCCAAGTGTATTTAGTGCTCTTTTTTTTTATGATTCTCCGTTTATACTGGAAGTCAGCTTCTCTATTTAGGGCTGGAGAGATGGCTCAGAAGATAAGAGCACTAGCTGCTCTTCCAGAGGACCTGGGTTCAATTCCTGGCACCCGTGTGGCACCTCGCACCTGTCTGTAACTCCAGTTCCAAAGAATCTGGTACCCTCTCTGGCCTTTGCTGGCACCAGCACACAAGTGGTGCACAGATATACATGCAGGCGAGACGCACGTGTAAAATATTCAAATGGTGACCTATGGCCAGAACAACTTCATTTCTTGTATAAATGTTATTCCTATCTTGTGTGTGCACCTGTCCTTGCACACCTGCATGTGGATGCCCAAAGGCAACCTCAGGTGTCATTCATTGGCTGCCGTCCACTTTGATCTTTTTGAGACAAGGTCTCAGGCTGCCTACAATTCACTGAATAGGCTAGGCTGACTGGCCATCAGACCCCAGGGAGCTGCCTGACTCCACCTCCCCTAGGCTGAGTGGCCATCAAACTGCAGGGCGCTTCCCGACTCCACCTCCCCTAGGCTGAGTGGCCATCAGATCCCAGGGTTCTGCCTGACTCTCATTCTCTGGACCACTGACTTATAATACTTAAAATATCTCTTGTGTAAAAGGGGAGCAAACACAGAACCGTGCATATGTTCTTCTGGTACGGTATTTCTCATGTATTTCTGAGAGAAATTACTGAAAGCAGTCACCTGGTGTTTCGGGATGGCATATGAAGTTCTGGAAGCTGGGCACAAGGATAGCAAGCCAGGGGTGGGACCTCTTCACAGAATAGGCTTGCTGGAAGGCTTCTTAAATCACCTGAATTCATGACTGAGGCTCAATGGCGTTGTTTTGTTCTTTGCACCAGGACCCATGTACTTCATCTAAACAGCCTGTAAACTTCGCAGAATTGGTAGTGAAGACTCCCACTGGGATTTTTCCAGATGAGTTTCCTCTTGCCCAAACTGACTAGCAAGAAAGAAGTGGACCAGGCCATCAAAAGCACTGCGGAGAAGGTGTTGGTTCTCAGGTTTGGGAGGGATGAGGACCCTGTCTGTCTGCAGCTGGATGACATTGTAAGTGACTTTTTAAATGAGCAGCTTTAAATGAAAAGTCAAACAGTGAATGAGCAGGAAACGCCAACACTAGATGTCTGAACCTTGTCCTTTCCACGGTCACAGCAACAGTCCATGCAGAACTCAGAAATCCCTCCAGGGTGCAGCAGCAGCAAAGCAGGGTCTGAGCTGTTTCCCTGGATGCCAAGGTGCTGCTTGTTTGCTGCTCCTAGAACGGGCCTGGTGGAGAGGTCAGGTTTCACAGCACGTCTTCACAGGCCAATTAGTAAATTGGGGAAATGAGAAGACAGAGGGTTTGGGTTTTTTTGTCTTTGTGTCTCTGTTTACCGTGGAGATTGAACCAAGGACGGGCCTCTTCCCTCCACCATCAACTGTGGGAAGCAAATGTGTGAGTGTTCCTGAGCTGTTGCGGGCAGGTATATCAGGATCTATAGCTCACTTTAAGAGAGTATAGATTCCTTTCTTGAAAATAATGAAACACAAGCCCATGAGATGACTCAGCAAGTGAGGGCTCTTGCCACTAAGATGGAGAGACCTGACCCCAACAGATTGTCCTCTGGCCCCTACACGTGTGTAGTACACACGCACCAGTCCTACCCTGCACACACACAAATAAATAAAACTTGAAAAAGAATTTATCACGGGGGCTGGCGAGATGGCTCAGCAGTTAAGAGCATTGCCTGCTCTTCCAAAGGTCCCGAGTTCAATTCCCAGCAACCACATGGTGGCTCACAACCATTTGTAATGAGATCTGGTGCCCTCTTCTGGCCTGCAGGCATATATGGAGACAGAATATTGTATACTTAATAAATAAATAAATATTTAAAAAAAAAAAGAATTTATCTCAAGCATCAACAAAACAGAAGTAGTTCTGGTTACTTCTCTATTGCTGTGATAAGACAGCATGACCAAGACAACTTATACAAGAAAGAGTTTATTAGGGGCTTATAGTTTTAGAGGGTTGGAATCCATGACTGTCACGGCAGGGAGCATGGCAGCAGGCAGATATGACGCTGGAGAAGTCACAGAGAGCTCATGTCTTGACACAATCAAAAGACATAGAAAACTAACTGGGAATGGTGTGAAACCTTTGGAAACCTCAGTCTGCCCATCATGGCTTATTTCCTCCCACAAGGCCACATCTCCTAAATCTTCTCAAACATTCCTACCAACTGGGAGCCGAAGTATTCAGATATCTGAGCCCATGAGGACCATTCTCATTCAGACAACCACACAGTGCCTTCTCCAGAGCCTGTCGACAGGGTTCCACCCTTGAGCAGTAATAGTGTGTCTGGCTGGGCGTAGTGCACACATGTAATCCCAGCACTTGTGAGGCAGAGACAGGTGGTCCCTGTGAGCTCAAGGCCAGCCTGGTTTAAAGCAAGTTCCAGGATTGTGTCTTATGAGGAATTCAAGTACAAAATTTTTCTCAAAAAAAAATGTTATAGTAAGGTTCACATACAATATTACAATATGGTTCACAAAAGAAGGATCATGCACCTGGCATAGTATCATGTAACCTCCATCCATCTTGTCATTCACAGCTCTCAAAGACTTCTGCTGACCTCAGTAAGATGGCGGCTATTTACCTGGTAGATGTGGACCACACTCCGGTTTACACGCAGTATTTTGACATCAGTTATATTCCCTCTACTGTGTTTTTCTTCAATGGGCAGCACATGAAAGTGGATTATGGGTAAGTTGACTGCAGTCTGGGAAGTTGGTTCTCTCAGGGCAGGTTCAGTAGCTCACTTACTTTTCCGTTGCTCTCTGAATCTAGGTGAGTAAGTGCTGGCTCCTTATTTGATGCTTTCTATTTTTCTTATGAGAAACTTCAGTACAGTTTGCAGGTGTTTCAAGTATGATTGGCAAATTTTAATTTCTAATTTAAATATGCAAATGTCTTCTGCCACTCAGAATATTGAAGTCATATATGAAGACCTGTCAAAATAAGTCACATGGTATCTTCTGCACTGCCCTCCACCCTGTTCCCAGCCCTAGATGAGTACCGTTGGCTGGGTCTAGGACTGGTCATCCCTTGCTCTGGGGCGGGGGTGTCTGCTTTCCTGTTACCTGACAGAGATGAGTTTGACACTGTCTGTTTGGAGCTGCTTGTCCTGATCAGATCTGCTTATTGTGATCGTTTAGGACGATCTCCTCCAGTGGAATTCAGAGCACAGTTTCGCATACCTTCTCAGCGCTCCATCTTTCAGCCCAGTAGTTCCGTTTCCAGCAGTTTCGTAGTGTGTTGTCAGTGCACATTTTACAGCCCCGAGGCAAATACTCGCTGTAAGATCACGTTGCTAAAGGATCTGTGGCGTGGTTCCTACCCTAGCAAAATACATGGAATGCACACCCCACACACACACAGAACTGGAAGGGTACCCATCAAAAAGTGACTTCTGGCCTCACAGCTGACTTTATTTCTCTTCTTAAATTTCCTACGAGCAATATGCCTGATGTTTAAGATAATTTGTAAGGTTATTTATTAATATTCACAACTCAGAAGAGTCGATGAGGAGAACTTGAGCGACTGTGATGAGCTAGTGGGCTTTTGCAGAGACCCTGAGCAAACTGCCCACTGCAGGACTCAGACCTCGCCAAGCTATCCTGGAGTGAGTGCCGTGGAAAGTAGCGGAAAGGCAGGGGATTCCCACATCCAGATCTTGACCTCTGCCCTGGATCTGGTCCTGTATACTCTGCCTGGGGAAGGGCAGTGGTCACCCCACAGGTGGAGGCCACCGCTGGCTGCTGACCGTGCAGGCGTCATGCACCGGAAAGCTCTGACGTGGTTACTTCCCTCTGCTGCAGGTCTCCGGATCACACTAAATTTGTAGGAAGCTTCAAAACCAAACAAGACTTCGTGGATTTGATTGAAGTCATCTACCGGGGAGCAATGAGGGGAAAACTTATTGTCCAGAGTCCTATTGATCCCAAGAATATCCCCAAATATGACCTCCTCTATCAAGACATTTAGCACACTCATGGTCGCTGGAGATGAAAGAGTCATGGGTGGAAACAAGACCTGAACCCAGAGGGCCTATGGTCTGGAGTCCCTCAAAGATGTGGTCAGTGCCCCAGCGAAGAGGTCTGATGTGCCTGTAATCAATGGCCCCTGTGCAGAAGCCCCAGTGCCCAAAAACTCCAGATGTCTGAGTGTCCGTTCCCTGAGAGCCTTGGAGCAGACAGGACAGTGTTCAGTGTCTTTGTAAGTTCCCTTTACCTGGACCTGTCTTTACCCTTAAGGTCATCCATCATCCTAGACACTGTGAGAACAGTTTAATGGGCATGTTTGTGCACACACGCAACCCTTCCCCTCACCTCCATTCCCTTGCCCCTTTTGCTCCCTCCTGTCCCAGCTTCTCTTGAAATAATTAGCATTCTATTAGTTGTAGGTGAATTCTTTTGTTTCAGGGACCGTCCTGGCATGGACCGAGAGCACTGCCCTGGTCCTGCTCATTTATAGCTGGCAGGCCACTAAATTGACAAGAGGAAAAGGTGGCCCTTCACCATCCGGCACAATTTAAGCTAAACAACAAGTTTACTTCCTTGGGAAGTAAAGGACGGAGCTCTTATTTCAAGGACTCAAGACCAAAGGTATACCAAAATTGTTAAGGGGGAATGCCTGTGGGGTTTGCTGATCCCAGTGGCTTATGAAGAACAGCTGAGCTTCCAGGGTTCCCCGGCCCAAGCTCAGGAAGCTTGTGTTTCTCTTAAACCTCTGGTGGTGGTGGTTCCTGACACTCTGGAATGAGAGAGTAGATACAGATCTAGAGGTCCATGGCCAAGCAGCTTGAGACCTGCTGGGTAGCCAGAGACGCTGCCAGCAGAGGCCCAGGCTTGTCCCAGCGGCACTGTCACCTCAGGGCCAGCCCTGTGGTCAGCTCCTTCTTTCTAAGCTTGTCCTTCGGGGAAAGGGGAAAAGTGAAATGGGACCCAGTTTTGATGATTGTGGCACAGAAAGGTTGTCTGAGCCACTTCAGGGAGGGAGAAGAGTACTTTCCCATCCTCTTCCTCTACATAGAGGGCTATGGAAGCCACCCCGGCTCAGTGTGTGCATAGATGAGCCAGACCCTAATGTTACTGAACTCCAGGTGAACTCTAACCCTTCCTCCACATCCCTATGAAAAAATAAAATTCTTTTGTCCAACTCACCGTCGACTGGGTCTTCTGTCCTTTGGCCTAAGTGCTCAGGTGCCAGCAAATCTCAAAGCCCACACAGGGAAGAACGCTTTTCATCTTTCTCTCTGGTGTGAGGGCAGGGGGCGCTGCAGTCTGGGTTTATGTCTTAGATCCTGTCGTGGTTGCTTTCCCTTCCGTTAATATTTATTAAGCATGCGTTACATGCCCTGTCTAGTGCTAGATACCGTGTACTGGACAGAGAAAGGCCTTGTGCAGGAAGGGAGAAGCATTGCTACTAGGAAAGCAGAGCCATGAAGGAAGGGCCAGGTTTCTCCATTCCTTCTACGTAGCGGCCAGCCACCTGCTGCCAGGTGTTGTGTGAGTGTGACTGCGCTGTTTCAGTTTCTAGAATACAGGTCCTTGTCTCCCTGGACCCCACAGCTCTGCACTGGGAAGATGCCCAGTGACTCCAAGCATGCAGGCAAGTGCTTCCCTGGTGGCCTCATACGCTGTGAGGAGAGGCTGTTTGGCATGTGAGAGGGTAGACTAGAGAAGGGCTGAACTAAGACTTGGGGCAAGGAAGTGTATTTCGAGGTAGAAGGGCATGTGGCTTGTCTCCAAACCCCAGGGCAAGCTGAGTTTTTCCACTGTGGAAGAGGAGCCGCTGAGAAGGAGTTCCCAATTCAGCCGAGTCCCAGCACATTCCAGCCAGGGAACTCGAGAGAGTTACTAGTGTTTGTCCCTGATGGGAAAGATCTGGGGAAAATAGCAACCAGGGAACTTAAGTCGCCGGGCAAATCTGTGGGCTGAGCTGTGGTTAGGACCCATTGAGTCAATAAATAGCCTGCCTGCAATGTGCGCTCTTTTGGTTTCTGGGCACTGGCAGGTGGAAACACAAACACAGGCTTCTGTCACAACCCTTGGCCCACTCTGAGCTCACACGCCTCACAGGCTTTCCTCACCCGCTTCAGAGATGTGACGGGATCTGCTGCTGAGCTCAGAGTTTGCAGTCAATCAGACCGGGACCAAGTTCAGCCCCATCGTTAAGTAGCTGAGTGACCATAACCAAAGCACTTCACCTCTCCAAGTCTCTTTCCTTCACTGAAGAGCAAGGGTCACAGTGATCTCTCTCAGACCTGGGTTTCATAAACATGATTCCCCAAGTCAGGCAGTCTACAGCACCCTAGGGATTTCCTGGCACCTCAGGATGGGGGGGGGGTCCATTTTTCCAGTCCACCCTGCTTGGCTGCCCAATACTGTAAATGAGAATAAAAGCCCCAGACTACAAAGGTGCCAGAAGCAAGTTCTTTATTATTGACCGAGCAGTGCGGGGCTGGCACCTGCCCCTTCCTCCCTGGTGAATAGTGCTCTCAGACATAGACTGCCAGCCTGCCTGGGCATAGTCCAGTCGGCCCTGCACTAGTCCTGGGCCATGGTTTCCTGAATCCAGTCCAAGATGGAGTTCACTTTCACGTACACGCCGTACTCGGCCACAGAGCAGCTCTTATCGAAGCTCAGGATCCCAGCTGCATACCAGGTGTCCTGCTCCAGGTCGTGAATGGCGAAGGCACTGCCAGCATCTCCATAGCAGGTGTCTTCCTGGTACTTGGTCATGCCAGCACAGAAGGTATGTTCATTCAAGATGGGCTGTACCCCCACAGGACTCTTGTGGGCCTTCTTCTCGGGCACTGTGCTGCCCTCATAGTGCAGCACACAGCTGTCCTGGTCAGCCACAGGCAGCATGACATACTTGAGACGTTCAGTAAATCTAAAGTTGGCATTCCGCCCCCAGCCAGACACATAGCCCATGCGGCCTGGGGCTGCGTAGTCTTTGGAAGGCAAGCAGATGGGCATCACTCTCTCATTGACGGGCACCTTCTGCTTGAGCTTGATCAGCCCAATGTCCACCACAGAGCGGTTGGGGTGGATGACCACCTTCTCAATCTCCACCAGCTGATTTCTTCCCACAGAGAGTCGTAAGGTCGGGGCGATGTCCTTGGCTTTCGCGTCCTCACTGTGATTCAGGTAGAGGTTTTTGGCCGTAGTCAGCAGCCACTGGTCACTAATCAGGGTGGCCCCCGTGATGAGGTTATGGCGGGAGACCATCTTGGCCTGCCAAGGAAAGCTGCCTTTGGCGTCCAGAGAGCCGCCGATGATGCGCTGCACCTGGTCCACGGGATTCTTCGGCTTCCCGCACACTGCAGAGGGAGGGAGGGACGTGAGCAGCAGTGCGGAGCAGGCCCCACCCGCGGAGGCCCTGGGAGCATCAGCCGCTGCTGTTTCTACACCAAGGAACATTCGTTCTGCCATTGCCACCCGCCCCTCACATTTCTAGTATTTACACAGTACGTGACTTAGACAGAATTTTTTTAAACCCTGGCTGATAAACTGCTATATAAATATATATATACCTGCATACGTGCATACACATATATAAACATTATCACACACAAAAATTCCACAAGTTTCTGAAACTCAACGAAAAGACTGGAAGCTGTATGCATGTTTCATTCTCAAAGATGGGCGTGCAGCGGTGTTAGCAGGAACACAGACTGTTTACAGATGTTGACGTTAACCCAAAGCCCGTTGGCAGTTCCTGCCACCGATTGTAGAAATTGAGCAAAATCCTTATCCAGACAGAAGAGGGGAGAACTATGGAGTGCAGGGGTCCTAGCTGTTCCCCATGTCCTGCCTTACCCCTTGTGGGCTTAACTTATTTTGTCCCCAGCCTGCTCCTTCCTGGGACATTCACTTTACCTTTGACCAAGTCTCTGTAAACAGACGTTCTGTCTGGAGGCATCTTCATGGGAAGCTGGGTAGATTGAGCCAAACCTCTTGGGCCTAAATGGCCAAGCCAATTACTAAGCTTTCTGGGAGTCGTTTTGTCCCTGCTTTGCTCTCTATAACCTCTGTCTTGGTTCTCACAGATTCAGACCACACAAGAGAAACACGGCTCTGCCACATTAGCCTCCATCCCTGCCCACGCTCTAAGAAATCAGCACCTACCTGCCTCGCATTCAGGGAGTCTCTCTCCAAGGTCTTTGTTCACCCACTGGTTCTCATTGTTCAAGGTATACACTCCTGAAACAAAGGGAAGAGATGAACTCAGGGAACACAAATTCGGCCTCGGTGCAGCATGAGGAGATTCTAACCAGAAGGGTTAAAACGTCGGAGGAAAGGGAGCAAAAAAAGGCCGGAGTACTGGGCCTCGAGTCACGTTGTGCCTGGCAGGACAGAAGTCAGTCATGACAGATGGCAGCATAGGACAGGAAGAAGTCAGGATTCAGACAGACCCTGACTCTGCCTCTCACAGGCTGTGCCTCAGTTTCCTCATCGAAAAAAAATGAAACTGAGAGTGTCTGTGCAAAAAAAAAAAAAAATGCTATAAGACCCACAGGAGCTTTAAAGACACAGTGACATTCTTAGAAACTGTCGAGAATAGTGAGGCTGCCCAGTGTCATAGGTGAAGATTGCACTCCCGGGCAACAGGGGTTATGAAGTTGCTGCCCCAAAAAGGAAGCTGAGACAACTTAGTTTAGCAGAAGGACCACCAACAGGAGACAGAAACTTTATCAGAATCTAACTCTCCTGGCTCCAGGCAGTACTCATGAGGTTTCTGGCCAGGTACCCCAGCCCTATCCATCATAGGGACACCAGCCAGGGCCAGGGCTATGCAGGGAGAGACACTCATCCAGGCCTGACCGTCTCCTTTGGTCCTCAGTCTGTAGAATTGGCGGCAGCGATAGCGAACCAAGTGCTCCACGTAGCCGTTCGCAATCTCCGGGGGCCGTGGGCAGCTGTCATCTGCCAAGAAAAAGAAACCAGTTAGGGTCATGAATGCCCAGATGGCTTCCTATGAAAAGTCAGCCAAGAGGAAGCTGCCCTGCACGCCAGACTCCCTTGCACCCCCAAGTGGAAGCTGAGGAAGGGAAGCCCCAAAGATTTAGTGAAGAAGAGGGTAGGAAGAGAGGAGCTGGGTCTTCCCTCACATGGTGAAGCCTTGATAGGGCCACACTGGGGCACAGTTCCTGGGAAAACCCAGAGGCTCACCTGCAGTATCCATGGCATCATTGCCCAAGTCCACAGCAAAGAGCTGTCCCCAGAGCAGGAGAGTGACAACGACTCCCAGGGCTCTGCAGAGAGGTGGCAAGATGGAGAGTTGGTCGCCTTGCACGTGTAGTCTTGCAACACGCATGCACGCACACACATGCGCGCACACACACACACACATTCTATTAAGAAGCTAGTAAAGAAAGAGAATGGAGCTGTATCCTCCCTACGCCCAACCTGCCAACCCCATCCCCACAGGCTTCAGCAAACTCCATATCACTGGGAATTCTTTCCAAGCTTCAGAGAGAGACCACACAACAGAGGAAGGAAGGCCACCAGTATGACAGTATCCATGCCTCTGTTCTCCACACTCTGAGACGGAGGCAGGAGGATCAGGGCTTTGAGAACACCCTGTGCTACATCGCAAGTGCCTGTCTCAAAACAGCTGAGGGAGGTGGGGTGAGAAAAGCGGAACGGAGTGGAGAGAGGCACAGAGCTGTGAGCCTTTCTCAGTGATGACCCACGATGCCCAGCAAGAAGCTTCTGCCGCATAGCAGTGAAGTCCTGGGCTAGGAAGACACCGTTAGTACATTGTAGCTAAATTAAAGGTGAGGGCTATGGTTTATCTTGCTATTCTCGCTACTTTCTGAAATGTCCCATCATGAAAATGTCATTTTAATGTATAACTCATCATAGTTATCGTTCTTAAGACCCAATGTCACTCATTGCCCAGGCTTGTCACAAACTCAGTTTCCAGAGTCACCGGATGCACACCGTCACCCCTAACTCATGTCTGGCTGTTCGTATCACTTCCTGAGTGTTTGACTTTAAAGGGTGGTATATCAAACCCAAGAATGCCAGATGATTACCTGGGGAAAACTGACTTCCTAAAGGCCTGACAGTGGCTGGCCATCACTGGTGCACAGACTCCACTTAAAAGGGGACCAAATCCCAGCAGATGCTGGCCAGGAAGGAATT